CGCTGATGCGTGAAATTTCTAACTATTTTCCAATGTTTGAACTATTTTTGCATAGACTAAAGTACACAGCAGTAAAAACCATCAGTAGGCAATCATTCGATGTTCTGAATTGCACAAAATGCATGATCGCACCAGCTGGCCTGGTGCGCGTTGCCATTTATTTTCGAATGTCTTGGAAATGTATTGTAATTTTTCACTGCATTTCCTGGATGCAAAGAGCCTAAGATCGATCTTGACGGCATGGCATGCTTATTGGCCACACCATCAGAAAGCGCCCCGATTATGAATTAGCGATAAATTGGTTCCCGTTTTAAGTATTCATAGATTTTCTAGTAACCGCTTCTATTCTGCGCGTGATTGATTTGGTGATTTTCAGTGATATATATTCATTATGTGTGGCTATTCCGGAACCGCTAAGTGAACGCCTCTATATGAAAACCAATGAATGTCTCGATGAGCATGTCGCCGAGCTTTGCCAGGTTTTTTTTTTTAACGATTCTGATCCAGCATCCTTACTGGTCATCTTGCGAGCGATGCACACTTCCGGGCTGGGCATTTGGGTTCGAGTTTGCCGGCGAGTAAGAACCCCTTCCAGTATTTTTTGACTCGTTTTGGTGGTGGTGGTACCGCGGATTTCAAGTTGTTTTGTTGCCGCTGCGCTGTCGGTAAAAAGAAAAGCAACTATTGATAGTCTTGACCGCGATCAGTTACTGCGTGTTAGGTAAAATTCAGGCCACTTTTGGGTGTCTTCTGTGTTGAAAGTGGAACGTGGAAGGAGTTTGACGTTATTTTGATTTCTGTTTTTGCGAAGAACAGTGTGGCGGATACTGTCATAAAATCGGCAGCAGAAGGTGTACATTAATTTGTAGTGGTTGCTAGACGATGTAAATTGTATATGTGCATACAAGAATTCCGAATCTGTAATAGCGATTTGCGCATACATAGAGATTTAGAAGCTAAATTTGGAAATAGAAAAGGTAGAAAGGGCCATGAAGGCACAACTAAGAAGTGATCATTCCAAATAGGAATGTCTGAGTTTTGGTAGACGAGGGTTGGTAATGAAAACTTCAGTACCATGAGTGCCAGTGTAAAATATGTAGGTGTCAAAAACTTCTTGTGAAGTCGTCAAAATCTAAAGATGTGTTAAACTAACGTAAAGGAAAATGAACGGTCCAGGTGAAGGGCCGGCCGGACGGATGAAATTGTGGAACACGAAGTTGGACGAGCAGTAAGGTCATGATTTGAGGAATTTGGAGATGGATAGGATGAGCAGTAAGGTCTGTGCGGAAAGTGTTCTGTTTTACATTGTGAGATTTTTACTGATTGATGTAGTCGTTCCGGATTATTGGATTTTACGTGATATTTTCGGTTGTTATTTCTTGGTGTGTATTCAAGGAAGTGAATGCGGCAAACGACTCGGAGCTTCTCAGCAAGTACTGCCAGCTCTGGAATGTGTACTATAAGGGAGCGCTGTGTATTCACAATTTGTTTGGGTGAGCCTTTTGCTGTCAAAATCTTTTTTAGACGCCCTCTGTCCGCTATAGGAAATCATGATGTTGTGCGCTGAGCAAGAAATATGTAAATTTTATTGGGCGATTTTTCTGTTTTTCAGCTACCTCAACAAGCAGTATGTGAGAATAAAGCGCTGCAGTGAAATAGATGGCGCATATAGCCCGTGCAGTCAGTTCAGTAGAAGGCAGGACCTGAAAGAGATCGGATTGGTATGCTTCTTATCCTTGAAGTGCTTGAAATGAATAATTACAGTTGAATCCTGCGGTATTCACTACAGTCGTTTTTTTATGCTTCTCGTTGAGATTAATGCTCTGTACGTACGTATATGTGTGATGCGTGTGCGTGTGTGTGTATGTTTGGCAGAAATATATGCACATTGAAGTTTTTTAGACCGTTCCCGTCAAACCCATTAACCCCAGTCTTGTTTCGGTTTTTCTAG